AATTATAAATGAAAGTCGATTTGCATAATGAAAAATAGAGATAATGTAGAAGAATGTAGAAGAAAAATTACACGAGGCCAAGAATATCACGAGATTACCCGATAGTCGTCTGTTACTTTTAACCAATCAAAATCGTGAAATTTGGTTAGTCCGGATCAGTCCGAAAATCAAAACAAATGATTAAACTCAATTATCTCAAAATGAAATATATGTAAATATGGGCTGTTTTAATTGGAGACACCCCATATAATTGAAGTTTTTAAAAGAAAATTAATAAATATATGTTTACTGCGCCACATTACTGCGCCTGGACACGTGTGTCCAGTTTTTCTAAATTAATAACGATAAGTTTTAGCACTTTATGTTTATCGTTATCAGAGTATAAATTCTACATGCATAATTTATTTGTATCACCTTACAAGCCTTATGCATAATTTGTAATATATGGGGCACAGCCATTTGTAGGACGTTTGTTGTGATATGGGCACTGTATAATAAAAAATTTTAGCCACGTATATATTTTTTTTTCTGTTAATATATCATGATGAATAACACGCCTGCATATAAAGAAAAACAAAATTACTTAGAAAAGTGGCACATTTTAGAGGGTGGAAGCATGGATGTAAGGTTTGTGACGAATGCAATCATCATTCACATCTGTATTGTAAAACATGCAAAAAGGTGGCGGATGGAATATATAAGCGATGTGAATGTGAAAATTCTCGAATAATTAACGTTAAATAAAAATAAATCCGAATAAGCGATAATGATAGTTTAAACATAATTTGTCCACGTTCATTAGTAATAATTCCGCATGAATCCAAACTCTGGAACGAAATCTTTATCTGGTTCAGTGGTATATAGGCACATATACAATGCATTTTCATGTGATTATTATTTCAGCCTCAAAATATTTGGATAATTCACGAGTTGAAATTCGTAATTTATGTTGCAGAACCCCAGAATATTCTAAACTAAATTTGGCAATAGCTCACACTTTGATTAAATTGATAATCTGTAGAGAATAAATAGTTTTTCGTCATATTCTAAAATGGGTTTTCGATATGATTCGAGTAATTTAAGCACGTTTTTTTTTGACAAAAAAATTATAAAATTTTCCTAGCGAAAAAGGAGTGATAGCAATCCGAAATAAAAGAGATATAAGGAAAATATATAACTTTGTCTTCAAAGTTTTTCGAAATTTCAAAATGTATTCTTCTGAAACCCCGTCGTTGCTGTTCTTATTCAAGAAACCACCTATACAAGAGGCTTGATAGGTGAGATTGATGTTTTCGAAATGTTAAGAAGCGTTGGCATCGAAGTAATTCATAAAGGGTGAGCTTTTTCACTAAGTATTTGTTGAGTTATCATATATCCAAAGTTACGCTGTCCCATCAAGTGTAAAATGTCTGGGAAAAATTGAAAGCTCTTCGTGGCCTATGTTTCGACATAGAACGTTCTTTTTCTTAGTTACTTGGTGTTCCTGCGGTCGTCAATACACGGGGAATTTATGGATGAATAGGATATATGATAGCTAATGAGTGCGTCACTGTAGACTATTCCGGCCGTACAACATTTAGTTGTTAATAACTATGACATAAATACTTACTTAATTATTAATAATAGTCGTCGAGGAGATGGTGGTGTGGATATTATATGTAAAATTCGAAATAAAAAAATTGGATCCAAGTTAAAAATTGGTGTAATATGATAGGTAAATATTATATTTATTCATTTATTTGTTTTTTTTTATTAACGTTAATTACAGTAGTTAATTAATTATAGGGCCAGATGTCGTTCGTGCATTGAGAGGTGTTGTATGCTTGAAAAAAGGCGTTATAGGTATTGTGCGATAGATGAAGCAAATTTATCCAAAAAACATCCGATTATTCTTACAACTAAAACTCGTCTCCTTCAAACTTTTCTCAATCTCACCCTTAACATTAATACCCGAACCCCTATCAACCTTCTTCTTATAACAACAATTTTATTCTTCGCCATTAATTCCACTCTAATTACCGTCATTCTTTTTTTTACTACTTTAACTATCACTATTCCTTTTTTTACCGCTATTTCTTTTTTACCACCTTAACTATCGACATTCCTTTTTTTACTACTTTAACTATCGTCATTCCTTTTTTTAAATTCCCCATTGGATACCTGAGCATTGACCTCCACGTGGTGTATCCTGGATTATACTAACAAATGCTCATTTTTATCATTACTTCGTTTTTGTATATGTATTAATAATCTAACGTCTTAAATTCATTGATAAATATAGTGTTGTAAATAACGAAGTTCCTAAATCAAGATTGGCCAAATAACTCAAGATATCTTTTTGTTAGAAAAATCAATACTGAAGCCTTATTTTTCTCTAAATGCACAAATTTCTATAATGTATTGCTCGGTATTTTATCATTTTTATTTTAAACATTATTAAAGCTGGCCCAGTGGCTGATTTTGCATATATAATCGTACTTCTTTTATAAATTTAAAATATTTATCGTTATATACTGTCATGTACAATAATGTATTTTTATGCATTAGAATAAAATATATAAGGTACACTAAAGATCACTTTTATCGTAATTTCCTTTTTTTTTATAAAAAAAAAGTGAAATAAATCCGATTTGGACCGCGTCATTACTCCAATAATACAAAAAATTAATATTAAACTGTTATGGCGCGTTTGTGAAATTTAGGCATTAGCCCTAACTCATAAAGTACATTATTGTTTATTTGTAAATAACATGCAGTAACAAACATCTAAACCATCTTCCCACATAAAATATGTAAGAAGATGGGTTAAACGTTTATTATGTGATTTAAATAATGAATGACGCACTTTATGCATTGGGCTATGTTAAAGATGTATTGATTGCGGTTCAGACAAACGAAAACCGAATAAGATTATAAGAACAAATACTGTAAATATATAGATACCATTAATAAAGTTATAATCTTGTAGCAAACACAAAAACAAGAATTTTTAATGTTGGATGCAACAAAATACGAAAAAAACACAAATTGTAACAAATAGCTCGTCGAAACGAAACCTATCCAAAACCCATAATACGAACACCGAAATTCACATTCCAAAAAATTAAATTTTGAAACCCCGAAATTTCGGAAAAAGAAAAATAGTTTTGGGTCACAAGTATAACACGTATCAAAAAAAAAACTTTGAGCCATTTCGTAAATTAGAGAATTATAACCATTTTAAAAAAATCGTAATCAATACTTTTAGGTGTAATAAATATATAAGTCTTAGCGATTTTACCCTGGTCGACATCGGTTAATGATTTTATTTGGCATTCGTCCATGGACATGGATCAATTTCGGTTGCGCACTAATTTATTCAAAAAATAAATAAACGATAAACTGTGATTAAAATATTATTCTGTTGATAATTTTTTTAAAGACCGCATTCCGATGTACAGCCAGAACTTTAAATGCACACTCTATTAATGTATGGGCCAAGTAAATTCTCTCTAAATGCACAGTCTGATCTTAACTCTATATGTTTTTTACTCTATAAATGCGCCCACTCCCTAATTGCATATTATTTTCCCAATTTTTTTCCTTGGTCCGACAGCTAGGGTTGTTAATGGGCGGTGTGGTGTATACTCTGCTTAAAACCACACCACACCAGAGTCAATACTCCAAATTAAACTCAATAGTTTACAAGAGTTACTACTCCAGATTAAACTTATGTATTGGCTAAGTTTGTATACTATACAGTAATCCGGAGCAGTATCCATAGTATAAGCCAGTGTTTGTAAATGAACTTGCAGGATAACGAAATTTTTGGTTGCAAAATTTATACGTGAAAACCGCTAGGCTTTAGTTGCAGAAATGTTTGCGGCGCGCAAGCTCGTAACCAATTTCAGACATTAGTATAAGCTACTCTATTTGATTTTTATAATAATCCGGGGGCGGTTTGGCATATAAATCACACCAACATGGAGTGATTTATACTCCTATGCCATTCCGGAGTATGATAAAGTACTATATTAAGGATCCGTATCATTTCACCGACAATCATTTCATCGACACCGACATCACACCAAGTGACAATTTACTAAAAATATATACCTGAAACTAATAAAGCCCTAACCCTAACCCCATGTGATGTCGGCTAAATGAACTTTCGGTGAAATGAGTGTCGGTTAAATAAGTGCCACCCCTATATTAACAACCCTACCGACAGCAAGAGTATAAAAGGTTCTATATTTAGAATACGTATACGGGTTTTCTCTTAATAGCACCCATTTGACCCAAATCGGGTATTTATTTATATCTGCTCATCTTACTACGTAATATCAACTTTTTACCTTCTTTTTCAATTAATTAATAAATATAATATTTAGATATTATTGAAATGAATCCTTATCATTCTTTTCGGTTAGAAATCCAATTTAGTACTATCGAGATTTTTCAAAAATCTCTTAAATATATTCATGAACCCACTAAAAATGAAGTCGTTCTTGATCATGATAATATTAAAAAAGAAATTGCTAATGCAAAATTTTATGAAGACGGAACAAAAATAATTCGACCTATTTTAAACGAGAAACAAGAACATCCAACAATTGAAATTTATAATGGTGATTGTTTGAGCCATGCATTGGATATAAAGAGAAATCTTGGTTTAAATCCTATCGTACTTAATATGGCGAATGATCAAGTTCCTGGTGGCGGTACGTAACAGAATTTACTCACTCATTTTATATCTTTGCATTTTTTTGTAACAATAATGATTAGTTTCTTATAAATAGGTTACCTTTATGGTGCTGGTGCTCAAGAAGAGAATATGTTTCGTCGTACCAATCTTTTTCAATACCATGAACCAAAAGATCATCATGAATGGTATCCTATTCCTAAGACTGGTGGAATTTATTATCCAAATGCTACTGTGATTCGAACAAATGAGCAAGAAAATTATGAATTGTTGGAAGTTCCAGAAAAGATGTCCTTTGTGGTATACCATATTATACTATTATTAATTCAAGGAATAAATTATAATATAAATTATGATTCATTATTAAAATTATTAATTCTATCAGGCGGTTGCTGCTTTGTGCCAACCGATTCTTGTAAAAGATTCTGATGGTAAAGATACTTTGTCTGACGATGACAAGGAACTAACCCGACAAAAAATTCGCACCATGTTGAATATTGGATTGGATAATGGTATGTGCTTTTTATTGTCTATTAACATCCTCGAAAAGTTGCTAATTATTTTTTTTTTTTTCGAAATCTTATGATTTATTCTTTTTAATATTATTTTGATCTTTGGTTATCTAAAATTCATGTCTCAAAAGGTCATGATTGTATAATTCTTTCGGCATTTGGTTGTGGTGCTTTTTCAAATCCACCTTCGATCATTGCTGAATTATTCTATGAAGTAATTTCCCAAGAATATGCTGGTGATGCAGAAAAACTACCAAAAACTTATCGTCATATTGCCTTTGCTATTTTTGATGATGTAAGTGCATTGCAGTGGAAAGATGGTGAAGGTAATTTTTTACCATTTAAAAAAATATTCGCAAACGGGTTACATTCCAAATAATAGATGATTTAGGCATTATGAAAGTTTAATTTTATATTTATATCTTGACCAGCATAGTAAATCCATTTATGTAAATATTATCTTAATAGCGAGTTTGAGTAATTGAAAAATATCTTGACAATTTTTTTCAGAGCATTATTTCATCTTGTTTATTGTATAGTTTTATATGTATTAAATTTTCTTTTAGGATATATTATTTAATTTTGATCATCTTATTAAGGAGATATATGATTCTGATATATTATAGTTTAAATATTCAAATAAAATAAAAAAATTCATCAAAATTGATTAGAAGATTGTCGAGAAACCTTCGCCTAAAGTTAATGAATATAAAATTTTCATTTAACTACATCAAACAAATATATGATATTTAATATTTTAATATTTGATTATTTAATTAACTGATAATATTTTTTTAAAAAAATTAAAGATTACTAGTGGTAAATGTAAATGATATAATACAAATATACAAATATAAATATTACAAACGCAAAACATATAATTGTATAAATACAGTATTAAATTTGCAAAAAAATAATATCTTTAATACAGATAATTTTTAATTATATACAGTATATACCGTAGATTATAAGAACAACCCAGAATATATTTTTCTCCACAACTTTACATATTTTTGTATAGCAATAAATTGCATCAAATGAAAACAAAATTAAGTAAGAAACTAATTAAACGGTCAAAAACTTTATTTTTGCCTATAAGAGAGATGGAAAACAATAAAAGACTGTCACTAGTGATTTGAATATTATAGGTCTTTATTCTTTAGCAACTTTGACATGCAATCTAAATGTTCGACAAAGGTTACAAACATAC